CGTGGTGGGCCACGGCCCAATCTACCTATTTCACCCATCGGAAAGGCCTGTGCTCCAGCAATGGTGACATTCATAGGCTGGTCATCACCAGCCTTCCATTCATCATCATGAATCAGGATCCTGATGCTTCAGATTGATGCTGTTACAGTGAGATTATACAATCTACACCATAACGACCCTAGTATTGTGGTAGAGCCTGTTTAAGGATTTATTAAAGTAGGTTCATATTATAATAAATATACAAGAGAAATAGTGTAGTATTTACGTACTTCAGTGTAATTAAAGGCCTGCGCAGACTTTGACCGTGGAGTACTAAAGTCCCTTAATCGTGAAAAAAATTCCGCCGAGGACTTGTAACGGACTCAAGCACACGGTATGCTGACATTTTTTACCCGGAAATCTAGAGAAACGCAGATTATGTTAGAACATATTCTAAGAAAATGTTGTAGTTTAAGAAAAAGAAAAATAACGTTTTTAAAAAGAATACCAGATTCACCCCTTTAAATCGGATCGACGGCGCAGACTAAAGTTTGCTGTGTGCGTCGCTGCCCTAGTCAGATGAGTTCTATTTTTTCGGTGATTTCTGTGTACTTTTGTCCTGACTTATACTCTTGGCGTCCTCGGTTTTTCGGGTGATTTATAAATAATTTCTCCATTGTGTTACTCGATGTAGTTGTAAGCGATCTATTTCGGTGGACAAATTTCCCTCGTTTGCGCAGGCCATTAGCATAAGTGCTAGCGGAGACTAATTATATTAATTTAAAGTAGCATTTGGATCTCTCTTGTAGCCTATCAGTCCCTCATGGGTATGAATTAATAAATTAATTAAACCTATAGATAAAACTTTTTATGTGCTTGACTGGCTTGACTTTATTTTTAGTTTTTCAAGTCAGTAAGATTGATAAGGGTTGACTCATATACCTATTTATAGTTCTGACCTACTTACATATTACTTTACTTTAAAATATCAATATTTTCTGTATAAATGGTTTCATTTCAAAAAACTCAATACGTCCTGGCTGTAGTTTTATATGACGCAATAAAGGTAATTTTTATTTTTATAAAATAAATCAGGACCAATTAACATGTGTTAATAAAGTAGAATATTTAGATATTCATGTGTCTACATGAAAAATAGATCCGGTTTTTATTATTTATTTACCTTTTTCATTGAGGTTGCTAACACGTAATCCGTCAGTAAAATAGCTAATTAAGTGGTCAGATATGGATCTCTCTAGGTTAAGACCAAGTACAGTTTCAAAGTATTTCTTAAGTCTAAATATTTAGTCAAGAGTATCCCCTCAATTTAATTTGTATATCGGATGTGTGTTTATTGCTATAAAAGATATATACTTGTATAATTAGTGGAACAATTAAAATTATTATAGACAGCAGGATTTCACGTCATACTTTCTTGTGATTATTGAATGAATAAACATTTAAATATCAAGCTTCAATAAAAAATAAATATTTGATATAGGAATACTAGGAAAATCATATTTAAAAATAAAGAAAACAGTAATCAATCAATCAAACAACTTATGTTAATTATAATTTTTGTCTCTTGCTACAAATGGTGGGTGTTATTACATAAATTGAAATAGTTATTTATTATACAAGAGTGGAAAGTTCCTTTTTAACCGCGTGCTCGATTTGGATGACCGAGCAAGCGAAGGATTCTAAAGTTGAATCACGAGCGCAGCGAGTGATTCTAAATTAGAATCCTGAGCGTCAGCGAGGGAAACAAACGAGCACAAGGTGAAAAATCTTTCCACTCGAGTGCAATACGTAACTTTTCATCCCACCTCAGCGAGGAAATGACAAAATGAAAAAGAAAACAATTTATAATGACAAAATATTTAAGCAATAAAACGTGAAAAACTAGAATGGCGCGAAGCACGCAAATAAAACAAAGAAACCAAGAAGGTTCCAAATTTAAATTTTTTCACAATTTAAAAAGTTCTAATCATAAATTTGGCACCATAGAGGTTACATTAAATAGGTTTAATGACGTTTTGAATTTACAATTATATTGAGTACTCATTATATGTGATGTTCTAAATTCAAATCTACTTTGCCGCTCAAGCGAATAAAATAGAATTTTCCAGCCAGATTTCGAAGCGCAAAATTACACTTTCCGAGGTGGTGGGATGAAAAGGTTTTTTGTCAATTTTACTTGCTAGCGAATTTGATATGTTCGGAAAACACATTAACCCATATTTTTTCTGCAAGCCTTGAAAAAGTGATAGTTTATAAATCGACTCGAGTAAATTAATAGAAAACGTCCAATCTCTCATAATAAAGACTTTCATTGGTTCCAAAGTATTTTTTTTACCCAATGACACTAAACAACGTTAGAACGGTCCACTTAAAGCTTTTTCTCAGTGCAGAAACATCTTTTTTCGTCTATTAGTTTCTTGGTGAAATTTTAAATATTAAATTAAGACTTTTCAGCTAATTTATACTTAGAGCAGATTTTATAACATAAAAGGAACAGCTATCCCGTAATTTTTAATACATTCCCGTAATTAATGACATCCATTGGGAATGTGCGGGCGAAATCGGGCGTTTTTTCACGCCCGAACAACTTTGCTTGTTGTACTTATACAAGGCAGGTGCGTCTTGCGTGGAATATCGCTCGCACCTCTGGGATGGCTCCGCTAAGTACTTGCTCGATGCTTTGGATAGGTTACAGCGGCGCGCAATCCGCATCATAGGCGATGAGGATGTGACTAAACACCTCGAGCCTCTTCAATTACGCCGTGACGTGGCGTCACTAAGCGCGTTCTATCGTCTGTACCACGGCGAGTGTTCTGAGGAGTTATTGTCTCTTATTCCACCTTCCCCTTTCCTTCAGAGGACCACGCGCGCTGGCTTACATTGTCACCGTCTAACTGTGGCTACAATTCCATACACGCGTACAAAGAAATTTGGTGACTCATTTCTTTGTCGTACTATCCGTAAATGGAATGGTCTGCCCGCTCACGTGTTCCCTCCCTCTTACAACCTGGGATCCTTTAAAAAAGGCGTGAAGAATCAAACATGCAGGCCGGCAGAGTTGGGGGGCGGTATGGTGGGCAGTAGGCCGCGTATCCAGCCCCCACGCGCGGGCCTACCTGCGCACGTCTGCGGGGTCCCCGTAATACCGTGGGAGACCCCTGCCGTGGAGCCCTGGCGAGGCCGGGAAGCTGCTGGGAGCGAAGCCGTGGTAGAATCCCTAACGGGGACCCTGCGGCTCCGCACTAAGCAGTGTAGAGGTATTCGCAGGACTTTTTTAGCGGATATTATGCTGTAAAGCGCCCGTAAGAGTTGCGGGGTCCTCGGTGGGTAGCCACTGGGGGGTCCGTAAGACTTACGGGAGCCAGGTGTGAGGTCCGTTCGGCGGTGTGCCTCTTAAAGGCGCCGTCGTCTGTAAAAAGATTTTTTACCTGCGTTAAAAAAAAAAAAAAAAAAGGCCGGCAGAGTGGGGATGGCTGGTGTGGCAGTTAGAACTGCTGTATCAGCTATCTTCGCGTCTGGACTTCACCTTCACTTAACATCAGGTGTGGTGGAGTCATTTGTCGGACCTAACTATAAAAAAAAGAGTAAAACAAGAATAAAAGGCCTCTGCCCCAGCAGTGAGGGCATTAATAGGCTGATGATGATTGGGCATAGAACAATACTTAAGTTAGGTGTTCCTTTCTTGAATTTAACATATTTGTGTTGAGTCTTACAAATTCTTAAAGTTATTTTTGCGTAATCAAGCAAGAAACATCCTAACATACAACTTAACATAACTTTTACCATTTAAACTAAGATAAGTAGGATAACAAACAGTATCTTTCTTAGATAACATTATTAACACAGAAATAACTGTATTATTTTGAATATAAAGTTTGTCATAATAAAAAATACATATACGGCGCAGTAACAGTGCCTATGTTTAGAATGTTTATTTACTGTCGCACAAAATAATAATATAGTATTTTGCACTCGGAGTTAAAATGGTAAGCAGAGGCAACAAAACAGTTGGATATCTAGTTGTTAATTTTCAATTTCATTTACAAGGTATTACATTTCCATGTTATTAAAAAAACATAATTAGTAATAAGAATAAATTTAATACGCTTAAAACGTTACTTTTTACATGACTGCTAAAAAAGGAGTGTAATTTTTTCAAGGCTATAGTGTGAATGCGCTTTTCTTTATTAAAATATAATTTCGTCATGTTTCTCGAGTTACACTATGCTATGAATTTGATTTTAATATAAGATAGGTAACGAAAGCTTTTTTCTTCATTAATTACAACATGGCAATAGAATTGAAAGTCGTTGATGAGTGTGCTTTATAAGACTATGTAATTTATAAACATACATTTTTCGCAAGCTTCTGCAGAAAATTGCAAATATAGTGTAATGTAGAAACTTCACAGTTCAGTTTCTTAAGTTTCAGTTTCAGTAAGCTCTTGTAGCACCTAAACATCGAGTTTTTCCTGTTTTATTGTGTGTCAAACTGTTTGATTGGCAATGCTCAGTTACGTCGTAACGGCCACAATGCTGATCTTTTTAATCCACTATTTTATAAATGGCTTTGATTTTGTAACAATTTCTTTACATGAAACGTTTGAACCAGTTTGCAGTTTTGTGCTACTCTTACTAACACTGCGTGCGTCAGCTCCATACTTCACAAAAGTTGTCTTTTCCTACATTTTGTGGTAAAAGTACAAAATGTATTAAATTTCCTCGTTACATTCACATTTTGGTACCAAAACAATAACTATTTAAAGCGGAAAATGTTTTAAACTTAAAAAAAAAATTGATTCACTAAAACAATAGATACATTTTAATAACAAAAACTTAAAAACTACTTTGTGTCTGAAATTTACAGTCCAAATTACCCTAACCTACTTTACAACTTAAATAATAAATAATTTCCAAAATTTTTATTTTTTATTGCAAAATACTTGAAGAGCCGTTTCTCGACCTTTTATAAAAAAACTAATAGGATATTCTTTTGATCAGGTAACAAGCCGGTATTGGCATGTGTTGTTCGAGTTGGTGCAGCTGATACAACTTTCGGTGACGGCCACCGCGCTTGCACTCTACTACCTTATATATTGCTATATGCAGGTGGTCTACTTCACCCTGAAGAGCGCTCTATATTTCCACCAGGCTGACGGGTAAATAAATCTTTAGTTCCATCAGTTTTATATTTGTATAAATATAAGATATTAATTCTATATTAAAAATGATCCGGCCTGATATCATCATCAGTCATGGATCAATAATACACTCGACTGCAAATAAACTGGGCCACTTGCTACCACGGAATTCTGATTTGATTTTCTCAAAAAGTATAAAACTTACAGCTAACAAAATTATAACTACAAAAAATGCGTTTCGTGGTGATTAAAATGAACTAAAATTTATTGAGATTAATCAATAATTTAATTTTTTATTTAAAAAAAGCCAAGGAAGAATCGTTATCCAATTGTGGTATTCGGAAGTAACGAACGAAGCAAAAATACTCACGTCTGAGACAGCTATGGAGAAAAACTAAGGAAATGATAAGAAGTATCAGACTATCTACATTTTATAAAAAAGAACGATAATCGCGTCTTTATTAAAAAAATAGCAAATTTTTAGCATTGCTGTTCTTGATCGATTACAAAGTAAGTTCACAGTACTTTAAAATAATTTTTTACTCTTATTATTAATTATGAAACACACTTTCTGTACATATAGCTTTAAACGTTGTAAGTTTTATTATTTTTGAAAAAATCGAATTAGAGTTTCAAGGTACTAGAATGTACCAGTTGGCCCAGTTTGTTTGTAGTCAAGTGTATAACTTGCGTGTTTTTTTTCTATAAAAATGTTCTTTATGTAAAAAAGGTTGGTAAACAAGCATTTTCGAGGGGCTACGATAACCAATAATAATAAGATACTTAAAACCACTATTTTAGTATTATTTGGTTGCAGTTGAAATGGTCTGTATGGTAGTCAATTCGTAACTTCATCTATATATAAATTATAGAGAAAATCATAATACCCTGTTTAAATTCCAAAGTAAAAGAGATAGAAATTTACATAATTTTGAAATTGTTTCAGACCTATGAAAATCACAATAGCTGTTGTGACAGTTACGTCAGTGGTGGTAGCGTTCAACCTTATCATGCGATTGGATAAATTAACCAGATAATTTAAATATTAAGGCTTAATTTCATATTAATGATACATTTTTGTACGTGAACGAAATATAAGGAAATCGCTTAAAAGCTCAGTCAAGTACTAAATTAATAAAGCGGATTTTCTTATAACAAAGGTACGTGTATTTTTGTGATTGAAACCATTAAGTGTGTCGCCACTAAATTAAGCTATGCAAGTGTACACAATAAAACCATTTTGGAATATCATTCTGTTTCTTTTGAATGGCCAAAGAAGCGTGTCAAAGAGCATCGTTTTTTTCATTAGCACGTTGTCTAATTGCTCGAACCAGTCATTAGTCTGGTGGAGGCAGATTGAGCGGAACGAACGGACCACCTGGACATTGTTTCCCCAAATGGTTTTGGAAAACGATTAAGCCCCCCCTCGAGCTTTTGTGCGAGTTCAACTTGGCGGGAACGAATTTCGCGGATGAGGAGGCAAGGCTGACTACCAGCCACTCTGGTACCGACGTCCGCGCAACGCGCGCGCGAACCTCTGTGAGCTCTCCGCGCAATACGCGGCACGCATTCCCGCGAACTTGTGTTCCAAACTCAAAACTTTAAAAAACTTTATTTTTTAAATTCAGTTTTTGTGCAACGTGTGCATGAAGGTTAGAAAGGTGGATACATTTATATAGTGCATTAACTCTATGCAAGATGGCTCTTAGTGCGAGGTAAGTGGAGTATGGAAATAATTGCATTTTTCCATTTTCTCAAAGCGCGGAGGTGTCAAAGTGTTTCTGTGTCGCGGTTTACGACTTAGGTCTGATCTACTTTATGATAATGATATCGTAGCCACATTAAAAAGCTCCTAGCATTTACAGAAAGAAGTGCAAATACCGTTAAATATTTTTTTAGAAAACGCTGTCCTTTTTGCATTTCACTCTTACGACCACTTTCAATAGAATCAACGCCAGGAAGATGGCTTATTAAAAATTTGTTGCATTGATATTTTAACTATTTAGATTAGGATTACAATCCTGTTTTCAAGAATCGGAAGCAGATTATACTTACCTTTTACTGGTTCATTATTGAATATTACACGGTTAATCAATCATGGACAGAGCGTTATCAAAGCTCTAAAATTTGTTAGCAAACGCAATAACCTTATCTATCGGTTTATTTGTTTGGTGAGTAAACACTGAAATTCTTTGAATCACTCCACTATTCAATTAAAACAATCGCGTTTAACTTTAACGGGACATAGTTGAATAAGAATTAAATAGTTTTATGGATTCGGCGCGCAGCAAAATTATTTTGTACTAGTTCTGTGACCCCGCTACGCTTGAACGGGATAAATACCATTGCTTATTCGCCATCGACACCTCCAATACCAATAATGGATTTGTAGATTTGCCAGTTGATTAACACAAATTCTATTTTTTGAACGTACATTGATTTTCTGTAGGATATTTCCATATTTCATTTTGGATTGATCGTAACTGAAGTAAACTTTACTCGTGTGTGAAATGAATTGGAGCTTAAGCTCTGGGAAAGCAACATCCATCAGAAGAAGACCATAGAAAAATAAAGCTCTTTTTGGGGGTTTTGCATTTAATAATTTGAGATTAAGGAATTAGGTCTGCACGCGATGGAACACTGGCAGTCAGTCAGTTTGGCATTGTGGAGGTGGCTGGAGCGGCAACATTTTCTGCCATGTCAGCTGCCGCGCGAGTGTTAACTCCGTAATAACAAGTGGGGTTGGCTAAATAAGTGATTTATAGAAAGAAGAAAACAAAGAAAGAAAAGCATTTTATGGGCAGTCACAGCATGAAATTAGAAAAACAAAATGGCATATAAAATAAAATGGCTTATGGCAAAGGTGACTTGCGAAAGTCGGAACATATTGAGAAAATAACAAAAAATAACATAGGATATTTACACGTACAAATATAAAGAAAAGTAAAGTTGTAGGTTTAAGTATTGCAAAACAATATTGAAAATAAAGCAATTAAGACAGAGACAAACAAAACACAGATAAAGTACTAAAAGATTTTCCGATATTACTTTCTTAACTATGTATGTACTTTTTATGTATGACTGTAACAAATCGTTAAATACGAAAGTATTTTTTCTAAGTACTGAAACATATAAAACTAAGCGTGTGAGTAAAACGATTAAGAAACCTAGTTAGATGAAAATGAGAATTTGTAACTTTTCACTAATAATCGGATATAAACTGGCCTGACCGAACAAATTTTAAAATGCAAAATAACTTTAGCGAAGTAACTTATGCAAAGTAACTTAGTAGTTGCGTTTAAAGTATAAAGGAAAGATCTGACGAGAATCTTGGTTTGTACTTATATAAATTACTAACTAAAGTTATACACATTTGTTAATATGCCTATTGTGTTTTGTATCTTGTAGGCTACCATGTGTTTTGGACTAAGTACAAAACGCAGCAGGTAATTTACCTACGTATTTTTAATGGATTAATTGTAAAAAGCCTGAGGTGATAAATTCACAGAGATTGTGGAACAATCGTTAAAAGGCTATAAATGATAATTGTGTGTTGATTTACGTGAGAAATATGCTGATATAATGGTCATTGGAAGTATTCAGGAAAAATCATACTGTTTTTAGAATTTTAAATATGTTTAAAAAAAAACTACATTCTCGGGACATTGATATTGGAAGGCGTCGAGAGGAAAGATGGGTAGACTTCAACTACAGTTTTTTCCCGACGTTAACATTAGTATGGAAATCCAGGCTTACCTACCTTCACACTGAACTTTGAAAGTGTGACAGAACGGGAAAGAAGGTTCCCCACCTTAATGGCGCAATTACACTTGGTCGTTAGCCCGAATACTATTGCCTATGGAATTCGGACTACCAATTAGTCTAAACACCACTTCTAAGTCTACTCGATCCATATCCAAAAACCACTTCGAACTCTACTCGATCCACATCCAAAAACCACTTCTAACTCTACTCAATCCATATCACAAAACTTCGATTTTGGCGCTGGACTAGTATCGTGAAATAACTTATTTTTTTATTAATTTCGATTATCGATTAAGGATCCGCGTACCTGGAGGCCTACTCTAATTCAACAAAAAACGAAATTTCGATCGAAACTTCGCACTATTCTCACTATGTTTCTGGTTCGTTTTTAAGTATAATAATATTCGTTGTCGAAATATAGATTGAGGTGTAAATTTCTTAAGCCTACTCAAAGAAGCTTAAATTTGATAGTTTATCGTTCAAATTAAGAATAACCTTAAATTGACGAAATTAAATTTCGTTTGAACTTCGTTATCGAAAGTTCGTATCGGAGAAAGAGAGTAGACCCCCTGAATCGGCAAAAGCGGAACCCTTATAGGATCACTCGGTTGTTTGTCTGTCATAGTCGATTTGCTAGGAATCTACTAGACTGATCAAGTTAAAAGGACATCGGGCAAAAATGTATGGATGCTGCACTCACTTTCGCCACGGCTTAAACTACATTTGTTTGAAAGGTATTATAGTCATGATCATCTGTACCAAAGTTTATTTTCAGTTCAATAGATACAAATACTATAACGAATGAAAGTTAATGAAATAAGGGAATTAATTTTGTAAGTTATTTCAGTTTCTTAGGTATTATGGGAGTACTTCACAAGGTGCAAGGGTGTCCCCTTATTTTGACCACCACTTCAGGCTTCTGGCCCCGAAGCTGGTTAGTGCGGCGGCGGCTTTGGGCAAGATCATGCCGAATGTGGGTGGCCCCGGTAGCAGTTGCCGGAAACTGTTCGTTGGTGTGATAAGGAGTATGGCCTTGTACGGTGCGCCGGTGTGGGCTGATGCCCTCAGTGTGGTCAACAGAGCAATGCTCAGGAGACCGCAGAGGGTAGTGGCCACCCGTGCAGCACGGGCGTATCGTACGATGTCATACGAGGCGGCGTGTGTTATCGCCGGGATGCCCCCCTGGGACCTGGAAGCGCAAGTGCTTGCGCAAGTGTACCAGGGGAGGGTCTCGGCGATGGCGAGAGGGGAGCGTGCCACTATTGAGGAGGTGGCGCAGGTGCATAGGGAGGCAAGAGAGGTGCTGATGGAGAATTGGCTGGGGCGTCTCGGCAGTCCGACGGCGGGCGTCAGGACGGTTGAGGCGATCCGTCCAGTTCTCAGGGAGTGGGTTTCCAGACGGTCGGGGTCGCTAACCTTTCGTCTGGTGCAGGTGCTTTCCGGGCATGGTTGCTTTGGAAGGTACCTGTATCAGATACAGAGGGAGGCGGACCCCTCGTGCCACGAGTGCGGTGATGCCGTGGACACAGCTCAGCACACCCTGGAGGTGTGCTCGGCGTGGACTCGGCAGCGCGGCACTCTGGTTTCGATCCTGGGAACGGACCTCTCACTGCCCAGCGTGGTCAAGGCCATGCTGGAGAGTGACAGGTCCTGGCAGGCGATGGTGGCTTTTTGCGAAGACACCATTTCGCAGAAGGAGGCTGCGGAGAGAGTCCGCGAGGAACAGGCCCTCGCTGGCTCTCTCCGGAGCAGGAGGGGGGGAAGAAGGAGGAGAAGACCGGCGCATCTCTTGCCACCCTAGCACGGGGGATGGCCTTATTGAAGGCCGCGGGGGGAGAAAAGGTCCTTTTTAGGGCCGGGGGTCGCTGAGTCCCTTTAGGGCTCAGAGCGGGGAAACGGCCCTTTTCAGGGCCAGGGGGTAGGAGCATCACCCCACAGTGATTCTTAGCAATCACTGCTAGTGGCTGGTCGATGCTCAAAAGGCCCTTTTCAGGGCCAAGGGGGGACGAGAGAGGGACGGAGAGAACTACGCTCTCCCTCCCACTCTCATGAGGGCCGCGAGTCTGTCCTGAGGGGGCCAGGCTTGCATTGCACAAGCTCTCTGGATGTTGATGCCCCTCATACTCCGGGGCATGTTCATCGGGGCGGGTCCGCTTGCGGACAATCACCTTGCGGGTGGGCGGACTATTCGGAAACGGATACCGCCACATCACTCGCACTCCCGGTGCGCACTAGGAGGGACCGCGGTCCCTCATAATGCGCGCCGGGTGACCGGTGCAGGAGTATTGTCTAGTTTTTACGGTCGCCCTTGTGGCGGTCGCCTTCTTGGCGAGGTAGGGCCCCGCTTGCTTCTCGGAGCACTTGTGTTCCCTGAAGCGGCGGAGAGGAGTCCCCGATAGCTTCGTCCGCAACCCTCGGTTGGCGAAGTATGCGTAATGCATTTTCTAGACATTAAAAAAAAAAAAAAAAAAGGGTGTCCCCTTATGTTATTCTGCCGCGCTAGAGTAAATCCAAAAATTCCCGCTTGGGTTGGATTTTTTCAAACAGTCTGTTCGTTATAGTAAATTGTCTTCTTCAAGAGAGAGCGCACAACCACAACGATGTAAGACAAAGGACTGTATATGAGTCAACTAGTTGTACCTGCAAGTCCCTCGTAAACTGTTTTGAGCTGTCTCAGTAAGTGCAAGCGCAGGATGATCGTTAGGCTTTGTGGTATATCTGTTTGTATAGTATTTACGATATGGCACATAATTCTGGTTATTAATAATATAAAATGAAGGTACTATTAAATGAATTTATTTAGTTACTTAAATATGGCCATGTGTCATATCTTTCGATTACCAGGATATTTTCAATGTTACATTTATTTTTAGTTAAGGACCGTTCAAAGGTCAAAACATAAAATGCTAGGTGGGCCGATAGAGGAGTTTAGGAGTATAGTTTTAACATG